TTTTTTTTTATTAAATTAGTCTTAATTGGTAATTCTTGGATAACTTATGGTAATTATTGTTTTTTTATAAAATATGAATATATTATTAGAAGCCCTAATATAAGATATATATTTGGAATCCATTAATTTCTCTCCAAAAAAGATCTTATGGAGAGATGGAATACTCAACCATATATCACGATATAAGGGCCGTGTCACATCAATATGAGATATACTTACACTCCCCCCGAGACAAAAGTTTGATGAGGTCAGACTATGATGTGTTAAGCCACAAAGATACGAATGTCGACTCTGATACCACGTAAGATATATGTGGAGTCTAAAATTGTCATATTATGATGATCTTTATGGTAGAAAGAAGTCCTATTATGACGATCTTTGTGGTGTTCAAAAGAAAAAAGAAATTGCTTAAGAAATAGAATAGGGTATGATCAAATAGGGTATGATCAGGCAGTATTTTCAAATAGCATGAGAGAGAGAGAGAGAGAGAGTTGTTGTTGTTGACTTTCAATTAAAAAATGTGTAACTGGTTGTTAGCTTAATTTCTTGTTTTTTCTAAGTTCTGAATTCTAAAAGATTGACTCTAGAAAAAAGAATATGTGTCTGTGTCTGGCTTGACTTTTCTTGGAAGGATACGAGTTTGGCAACAATTTTTGTTTTAGAAAGGATTTTTACAAAAATAAAAGGCAATAAGATGAGTTTGGTGATGTGAGAATAAATACATTTCAATGTGGAAAGTAAGGTTGCACTAACTAGATAAGGCACCTCAGATGATCGCAAGGATTATAGAAGGTAACTGGAGGTGGTGGTCGGTGGCAGCATAATTTTTTTGAACCAAATGTTGCGATACCATGAAAGATATTAACTTGTCTATAAGAAGTTTAGACAGTGTTTGACATGCCACAACTAGCTGATAAGCTAGTTTTTTTTAGCTTTTTTAAACTATCTTCTTTAGTAAGCCAAAAAGTAGTTATAAGCTAGTTTTTTTTTTTTTTAATTGTTAGACTAGATTTTCAAGAGTTTTTTTTTTTTTTTTTTTTTTTTTTTTTTTTTTTTTTTTTTTGAAATATTCCAAACATACATTTAATTAATTATAGGAAACTCATTATCTTAAATGTCTTTTATGTCTTTTACATCTTCCATCTAATTTATCAAATAGTTTTTACCAAAAGTTATTTTTTATCCGCTAACTTTCAGCTAACAGTTAACTTTTCAGTTATAGTTATCAGCTAGCTTTTCTGTTAGTATGTTAAACATAGCCTCAAAGTTAGATTACATAGTGTGTCATGTTTGTGGTATGGGGGTGGAGTCTACTATGCATACTCTTTTTATGTATGTTGTTTGTTTGTTCTGAGGTGTAGACGACGATAGTTATGTGGTGCGCGATAGTTGTTCCCCAAATTTGATTAATTTCATAATGACTTTCTTGGTTGATAGTTGTCGGCTAACATGATAGTAGGCAAGAAGGCTAAAAGTAGTATGGATCACTTGGTGTTGGATGTTATGGATCGAGCCGGAAAGCATGTGAAAAATGGTCTAGTTGATAGCATAATTATGTGCTCCTTTAATTGGTATGATAGTCGCAACCCTAAATGTAATGTTCATTAGGTTGATTGGCTTAAAGTCTCGTTGTAATTTATTTTAGTCTGCTTTTTGCTAGATTGTGGTTTTTAAATAACATGGTTGTTCAAAAAAAAATGGTTTCCTTTTTCTCATTAATCATAATGGGCATTTATAAAGTACAAAAGATAATCCAATAGTATACTAAAACTTTGTTAACATGAAAACTATGACGTGTTTGATATGAAACTTTTAGCTTTTAAAAAAGATCACTCGAGAAAAAGGAATTTTTTTGGCAGCAAGTACTTTTAGTTTTTGTTTAAAACAAAAAATCAAGAATTCAAATCTACTTTAAATAGTTTTTGTAAGCTTTTAGCTTTAAGTTTTTAACTAATTTTATATATTTAAGAACCAACACCTATTTTTGTTAAACAATAAATAAAAACTACAACTTCCATCTACTTTTTGGCAGCAAGTACTTTTAGTTTTTGATTTGGTATGTTTAGAACTTTGGATAACCATGCCAATATTATCAAATTTTGTCGACTACCATTATTAAGGGGTGCTTGAGATTTTTTATTTAAAAACTATTAGTTTCTAAGATATTAAAAAGGAATGTAAAAAAATTTTGGATTATCTTTTGGTATCAAAATGTAATAAGTTGATAAATTATTTTTTAATGTTTGACAAATTGTGCTTATACATGTAATAAAGAAATAACTTAATGAAAACTCCTTAAATAAGTTAATAAGTTAAGAATAGATAACTTATAATTTTTATTATTTATTTAAATCAATAAGTGTTTCAAATACATTAAACTCCTTATTGTCGGTGTTAAACCGTAATAAGTCAGTAAACACTTTAAATAAACAATCCCAAACACTCCTATGTTAAAGAAAATATTAATCCCTATAAATGTTTATGAAGTATTAATTTGTGTTTTATTATGACTTTTATTAATTTTTTTCAAAGTTAAATAAAGATTTGAAAAAATTTAGTCCTAAAAACATAATTTTTTTAATAGCACAAGATTTTATTAAGAAAAGGATCTTGCAAGATGGTAGAAATACACAACTACTACTATTACTATAATTTTAGTGGGATTGGGCCTCTTTCCACAACTACTAAATACAATATGAAATATGAGAATTGCACCATGTTATCATGTTCACACTAAACATTTTGGCCTAATGTTTTATCCAATATATAATGTAAGTAGCAAGTCTTACACCAATTTCGAAATATAGGATCACACCTTGTTAAAGACACATGATGGAATTTCTCTCTTGATCCACAATAATAAGTAGCATAAAGCTTCCATAAGCTTAGACTTTTCATTATTAAGATGAGTCATACAACTCCCACAATAGCTTTAACCAAGACAAAACAGGTGCAGATTAGGGGTGAGCTAATAGACCGTTTTACTAAATCGAATCGAACCACATACACACCAGCAGTTCGATGATCGATTCCCCTAAAATGCCCTCATTAGTTCTTGGTACTTTCGGGTTCGATCCGACTGGTTCTCAGGAAAAACTGGTACTGAATCAGGATGTGAAAGGTCATTACTTAGAGCAACTCCAACCCACTCCCATTTTCTATTATTTCCTTCATTTTTCCACCATTTCTCTCCAACCATATCTCATTTATTCCTCCGTCTAGGGGAAATGAATAATATAACACCATATTTTGTGTTATACTATTAATTTCCCCCAAAATGGGGATGAAATTTGAGTTGTCGATTTTAGTCCCTCTTTTTATATATTTATATATTTCTAGTTTTTTTTATCTACTAATTATAATTTAAATGTAATATTTAATACTTATAGTATAGTGTTATATATTAAATTATATTAATTAATTATAAATATAAAGTTTTTTTTATTAAATTCATATTAAAATTAAATACATATTGAAATTTTAAAACACGATAACGTATTTTACAAAAGCTTATAATTACTGTCGATAGATGTTTTGCCCTCCCTAACCCCAAAAATCGATAGCTCTAAAAAATCAACCAAAACTTGTATAAATAGTCAAGTTGCTTCACTCATTCGTGTGTATTAATATAAATTGGGTTCCCTCAATGGAGGATACTAAAGTAAGTGTTCTAATTGTTTTGTATCATTCATGTTATTCTATAATTCTCTAGTATAAATTACTCGTGTTTACTCTTAGGATGACCATTGGAATTGTATTGTTTGATAAACCTAGTTGTAATGCTATATTGTTTATGACTTTTATGTTTAGGATGATGATATCATTTTTGAGAATACATAACAAATAAGACAATGTGGAACAAATGAATAAACGATAACAAAACCCAATTAAGGGAATAAGATTTCGGATAGTTTGAAGTACTTTGTCGTGGTCTATATACAAGACAATGATTGAGTTGAATGGAAGAATGGAAAATACAAGTTTTTCTCCATTTCTCCATGATGCTTAAAGATGATATATAGAAGAATGGTATGTCTAACTTGAAAAACATTTTCCTATATTTCTCTAATTATTATGGACTTTTGGCACTTTATGTTTCTCAAACTATTATGAAGGATGAAGGGTCGTTTGTTAAAGATTGCTTTAATCCTAATGTAGAGTTAGTTGAAGGATGCTCTGAATCCTTAATGTGCATAGGAACTATTTTTATGCAACATTTCCTAAATTATTTCAACCTTTTTCTAAATATTAGTATCGAGTTATTATAAAGGGTGAAGGTTTTCTTGCTCAAGATTGGTTTGTCTCAATGCAAAGGTAGTTGAAGGATGATATGAAACCCTAATGTGAATGGGAACCGCTTTTTGTACATCCTATCCTAAAGTGTTGCATTACTAGGTGTTGCATCTATTGTTAAGTTTCACATTTTATGCAACCTTTTTCATTTATGTTGCATGGTAGTTTTGGAGTGTTTTTAGGACTTGAGTTTGTATGCCTACATTTATGGCGTCAGATCTGAGATTTTTTTTTTATATCAATCATTCATTTTAACTTCTCCTCATCGATTTCTTTAGCCAAGAAACAAACGTGTAACTCCTTGTTTCCATTGAAATCAATAATAGTTCCTTTGTGGTTTACTCATTTGTGTTTCCACTCAAATTCTTGTGTTATACTCTATGAATTTATGTGGTCTTAAGATTTCTTCGTATTACAACAAGTTTTGTGGATACTGGTATGATTTGTAGTTGACGCTCATTTAGGTTTCAAACTTATATTGGTAGATGTAAAGTGATTCTAGATACATGTTAAAAAATGGTATTTATGTAAATGTTGTTTTATGGGTTTAAATAATATGCTTTGCATACATGAGATTTGACATTGGTAACTGTTGGAAATAGTGTTCAGTATCATTAATTAGTTGGTAATATTTCTGAATAATAACAATGTTATTTTGGGTTGATCTCATAACACAATTAGCAATAATGAATTGGAGAAAAAGTAAATTGTTATATTAAGTAATAATAAATTAATTGGAAATTATTTTTCTAATTAATTAAATGTTTTTAATTAATTAAATTTGAATATTAATTAATTTTTAGATATTATTTGAAATATTACAGAACCTCCTAGATATGTAAGGAACGATTTTGATATCCCTTGGATAGTGGTAAGGCAAATTTTGATAAGGATATGGATTATTCTTGGGAAACTAATCAACTTAAGGATTCTTGATGATGCATATAAATAGGATGTTAGGGATCAAACCCTAGATGAATTTTTTCTCTCTAATTTCATTCCCCTCTCTCCTCTCTCGCTCCATATTGACGATAATATAACTCCTCTCCAAGGGTTATTGCTTTTCGTGATATCCCTCATTAGGGTTTCCTTGGTGTTGCTTCTTGGAGTCTTGGGTCTGACTACATTAGAAAGATTCTCCTTTGAGTCCTTCATCCATTGCAAAAATTGTCAATCACAAAGTCTCAATCAAGAGATCAAGAGGTATCTAATATATCATTCTTTTAGTTTGATTTTAAAGTACGTTGCTTAAACTAACAAAACCTACATCTTAGGGTGCGTGTACATTTTGGTTGATTTTTAATTGTTTTCGCTACCTAGTTAATGTGTATTTGATGCTTAAAAAATCGAACATTAAAAGTCGTGTATTTGATGTTTAAAAATTCCATCATTAATAGTCTTAGGTAATTTAATTTTTAATATGTTCTCTTATTTACTTAATGTATTATGGGTTTTGTAAATCTTTTTGGAAATCGGTGGGAGATATGCTTTCCTACATAGTTTGGATTCGTGATTAGGTTTGAGTATGGGTCGCTCCCATACATGCATGCACTGTCATGGAAAAGGGTCTTTTGATTACATTCATGGCATGGAAAGGGATCCATTAAATATATATTTGGTACATGTGCTGGACATGGAAAATAACAATATAATCATCTAAGATTACCATTATCTTATTATTGTTCATTTGCATGTGTAAAATTTGTAACACCCAAAATAATCAAGTCTAATGTAATTCAACTAGTGTATTTCTTGGCTTAGCTTTCCATATTTCATATTACTACTTAGATTTTTTTTAAATCAATTTTCCATAAAAGATGGATTAATATATTATTAAATATAATGAACATAAAAAGCAATTCAACATACCTAAACAACTTAAAAGAAGACGCATTTCAACTTTATGTTGAGAGGAATATGCCTCTTTATTGTGGAACAAACATGAAACATCATGATGTAAGAATATATATGTTCTCCTATATAGCTTCCATACTCACACTACGCAAAAAATTCTAAAAAAATAGTTTAAATTTAGTATAAATGCATAAATGGCTTTTAAAAAAAAAAATTTGAACATTAGGGCAAATAAGTTGAAGGAAAAATAATGATGAAATTTTGTAAAAAAAGAGTTAGAACTTCCTTAGAAAGTCAATTTCTATAGATTTTTTTATTTATTAAGTTGTTATTTCTGTAATAAGTTAAAATAAACATTCATACATAATCAACTTTTACACATACAAATAGTTCCGTAACATAATGAAACCTTTATATTCGGATCATCCAAGCCAAATGAAGAATCCAAATTTAGGAAGTGGAGACGAAAATTACTTCCATTTCTTCCCGCCCTTTCCATGCTTACCAAACTTCCCGTGTTTCCCGCCTTTGCCATGTTTCCCTTGCTTGAACTTACCACCACTGTGTTTGCCATGTTTCCCACCCTGCTTATACTGACCACCACCCATATGTCCCATAGAGCCCATCAAGTTATGGGCTCCTTGGGGCATACTGTGGCCGCCATGGCCACCACCATGACTTTGGGACGTCAAATGGTGAACTCCATATGCTGCAGCTGCAGCAGCTGCACCCCCAGCTAATACCGTTCCCATTCCCGGTCCATGTCCTAAAGCAACAAAATTTCACATGATATCATTTTGTAGTGTAAAAAAAAATTATAACCAAAAGATAGACATATGTGTCTTTCATCATTTGTATTTTTTTTTTTATTATAAGTTTACAAATTATATACTTTAATCATCGAAATAAGTAAAATTATAAAAAGATTTAACAGTGCAAGAAATAGCAATGTATTTTTACTTTAAAAAACACCCAATTATAGCAATCTCATTCTATAATAAAGAAAAAAAAAAGTTGAAAATATAAACAAATTTTTTTAAAGTATAATATATTAATAAAAAACATAGGAAAGTACAATATTATCATGAAAAGAATTGGAAGTATAATGCTATAAAACACACAAAAAAAAAAATGGAAGTATAATATTATTTCCTCCACCTCTATGTTTATGGTATCTTTTGTTTAAATTAGATAAACCGAACAAATCACTGATCACTTTTATGACACTTTTAAGAAAAAAAAAATGGTTGTTTTTTATACATAAAACATTGATTAGCAACAATATCAAAATCAAGAAACAAAAGCGTGAAACTCAATTCCAGTGAACTATTTGTGATATTAATGTTGGCAATAACAATTAACAAATTAACAATAACAGCTAACCTCCTGAACTGTGTGAACTGTGTGAACCCGATTGACCAGGGTAGCCAGCTGGGGGATAACCCTGTTGTGGTGGATAAGCACCACCAGCAGGAGGATATCCCTGTGGAGGATAAGCACCACCAGCAGGAGGATATCCCTGTGGAGGATAACCACCACCAGCAGGAGGATATGCTGCCGGAGGATAGCCACCACCAGCCGGCGGGTATGCTCCTTGTGGAGGGTATCCGCCACCCTGTTGAGGAGGATAGTGCCCACCCTGTTGAGGAGGATAGTGCCCAGCTCCGGTAGCATATCCAGCAAGATTGCTTAATAACCCTTTGTCATGTTCGTTTTGTTGCCCATCTCCACCACCCATTTTCTTTCAATTTGGTATTGTATTCACGAAAACTGCAATGTAAATCAAAGACAATGGATTATTTCATAGATTTGGTGTTTACAGAGTTCTCTGGATGAATTCAACTCCAGCAATTACTAAGAAGAAAGCCAACTCATCAATCAAAGCCGGAAAACGTTAACCATTGAAAGGAAATGAGAAAATTTTCAACCAATTGAACATGATCAACAGTTAGATTCGGATTCGGGAAATAAGGATTCAATTAGGGTTTACAAACCGAGATACAAATCTGAGAAATTGACAAGTAAACCTTATGATCCGTTATAATAATTTGTCAATTAACAGCGGCATGCGTGATTCATGAAAACGCATATAGCATTGCTAAAAGTAAAATCACAGAACTTCTAAACCAGGTGTTTCCTGAATCTATACATGTAACGATCTAGATAGATGAATTTAGATATTTAATCGTATCCATTTCAACAGAAAACAGAGAGATTATTAAACAAAAATCAAAGCTATTGGAATTTGAGTTCCAATTTCGGAAGATCGAAATGGTGAATTGAAGTTCAATTAGACGAATTTAGATAGAGATGAGATGCTCACCAATCGTGATAATCTTCTGGCGGGTGTAGGTGTTGTCTTGAAATGATCAAACGCAGACTTCTTGACAAGTTGAGAGGATGCATGTACGTGTATATATACAAAAAGCAAGTGTATGAAAACGCGTTTTAAATAAATGTTCGTTTATGTAATTTATACTTTTGTATTTTTTATACGATTTAAAAAAGTAAACAGCATTTTAACCACATATACAAACACATTTTGCACCAATATTTATTAAAACATGAATTCAAACTTTTATTTGTGGAATGTGTTATCGTTAAATTCAATTATTTGTTGATTTGAATTATGTTGTTAAAAAAGATCGAACTATAACATATGTGAAAGATCGTATTACAAAAAGTTTGTGACCTTTATTAGGATATTTATATAAATATTCGATTCGTTTTTTAGTTTTATTGAAAAAAAAATGTGAGGTCGTATAGCTTTCCTTTATAAACTAATATTCCAGCTATATGTTCCTTTTATACTATATTACTTAAAAGAAATGCATAAATGCAACATTTTCTTTTGCATAATATCAAATTTGTTATCATCATTAAAAAAACGTAATTACATATATAAGCATTTAGCCTAAGATATTCTATTTTAAACAGACATTTTCACATATTTGTTAGTTGGTCGGTTTAAAAACTGAATCAAATTATTTAAGAAAAGTAACACACAATCTATGTCACTAATGAAATTCATCATATGATTGTGGTAGCTAAGGGGTCATGACTTTTATAACCATCTATTAATGTTTAATATCCATTTTTCAGTTTTAACAATTGATTTTTTTTAATTAAATTGTCCAAATCATTGTCCATGGTTCTTGAATAAATAATTTCTTCAAATAATTTGGTTATGTTTTGAAACTCAATTTATTTATCATAAAGTGATATAATTTTATTAATTAATCCATCAATCATCACCACAGTTTTTTGTAACTTTTTTGGGTGGAAAAATTGCTACACTTGTCTCATTTACATTAGTCTCGATCCGATTAATGGAACAAAAGTATATTTTTTTTTGTCCCTAAAAAAAGGTTAAACAAGATGAAATGAAAATACAATGCCATAATAACACAAATAAATGAAACTACAATGCTACCTTAGAAACCTTTAACTTAATAATAAAAACATACGTCAATGGTACAACTTTTTATCTAATTTTATCTCTCATTCTGCAAATAATTGTAAAAAAAACTATGATAGTTTTCGATAAATTCTTCTATAAATCTTTGCACCTTCAAATTCTGCATGAATCTCTCTTTCAGTTCGAATCCCCATTGGATTACTTAACAACCATCCTTCATTGTCACATGCCAAATCCGATTCAAACACGACCTTTGCTGACTCAGCATCAAAATAATTCCGCATGTCAACTGCAACTTCAAGCACATCCGACTGTATAAACACCTGTTTTACAGAAGGGCATTTACGTCTTTTCAACACAAGAGAGAGAGAGAGAGAGAGAGAGTCCATGTCCCTGTCCCACCTTTGTGGATGGGACAAAAAACTGTGTCAAGAATGGAATTGAATTCCATCAACACATGACGGAATGGAATCATGAATTCCAATTCCACCAGGAATCCACAATCCAACACACAACGGAATGGAATCATGGATTCCAATGGGAGTCGAAAATCCAACACACAACGGAATGGAATCACGGATTCCGATTCCGGTGGGAATTGACAAACCAAAGAGAAGTCATTACCTGTCCACCAGGCATTAAACTATCGGTAATTGCTTCCACAAGAGGCTTCTGCACAATCCTTCTTTTGTGGTGTCGTTTCTTGAAATGAGGATCTGGACACTGCGAATTAAATTTTCAAAGCTCAAAAATTGAATAATAGATTTGAAAGAAATAAATATAATTTAATTGAATTACATGGAGTTTAGAAATAAGGATGCACATGTACTCACCAATATTGAAACAAACATCAGAGGCCCAGGATATGTGGAAATGAGCTCCTTGAAGGATATTGTGGCATTTGCAAACACAAAATGTCTGCATAAATAATTACAATAATAATATGATAATATAAATATAATACATATAAATATATGTGCTTTGTATAATTGAGTAGTTTTTTCAAAATAAAACGTTGTATAATATGAAGAAACGAGAATAAGATGCTATAATAAACAAACCAATGGCATTACATTACCATTTACCATATCTTGAATTTAACCTTAAATTTAATTTTGTAATGTTTATTGTTTCATTTATTTTCAGGAAACTTGGAAAATTAATAAAAACTTACATATTACTAAGAGACAGCTCTTTCGCCCATTTTTCAGCCCGTGTAACCAACTACAAAGTGAAAAAAAAAAACTTGTTGTTACAAATACTAAATACTAATGCAATACTCAATTTCCAGAAATACCCCTTAAAAAATTATGCATATGAAGAAAAATCAAAATGAGTTAATATATATACCTTTTTTCGTATCTCAAGCCCCATATAGTTCTTGGAACCATGATTTCTCTTAGCAAGCCACATGAGAAATCTGCCACTACCTGAATTATTTAAATTGTTGGAGTAATCAGAATTTATTTAAATAAAGCAAACAATTGATTTTATGACATTCATCAACATATGCATAAAGAATAAGAGATATATTCATTACCACTTCCTACATCAACAACTAGAGGCAACTTTGGGTCTTCAAATACATCATTCCAATTTGGCACTTCAACAGGAATCTATCAAAATATAAAGAAAGCTCAAAGCATGTATTATGAGAAAGAGCTTAGAAATATAAATTTTAATCAAAATTGAGTGAGAGAAAGTGTATACTGATAAACTAGAGCTCAGAGGATTAACATGTTGCCTCACCCTAGTAGCACCTAACTCCTGATAATCAACAAAAAAAAAAAAAATGAAAAACAAGATGCAAACTTCATCAGGATTTTGCATCCAATTTAAATCAACACAGAAATCTTCGCGACAGAGTAAACCTAAGTTACCGATTTCTAATGGAATTTCAAAAGTGATTCCATTTACGAAATTGAAAAGCAAGCGTCGAACATTGAAAGCCATATAAGATAACATCGTGAGGAAACTAGCTAGGTCAGGAATATAATTACAGAAAATATTGTTCATCTGTTGTATATAAATGATTTTTCTAATACCTCACACACAATATGCGGAATGCTAAGATCAGCATACTCCAATGCGACGAGTTGAGGGCTCCTGATTTGCGGTTGTCGTTGTTGATTTTGAGAAATAGATACGGGGGATGAACAGTGGCAGATATGGCGACGATAACCATGAAGCAATGATGGTTTGGAGAATTTAATAGCAGTTGTAGTGATAGTTGAGAGAATTGGAATTTTAAGTCTGGTGTGAGCCATTGTTAAAGGGAAGATAACCAGGGCAGGGGTTTAGAGGGTTTTCTACTTTTCTATGGGCATGTAGTTAAACATTATCAAGGGTTTGGAATTTTTTTTTTTTTTTTTTTTCAACCAAAAAGTTCTTTTAACATGTTTATAAATCTTGTTGTTAGAATTTCAATGTATTGTCTTTTCCTATCTGATTGTATTCTTTTTGAACAGGAGTTATTATCTTATTTAAATTTTATTGTATTATTCGTTGTTAAAAAAAAAAAAAAAAAAAAAAAAAAAAAAAAAAAAAAACAATCTTATTGTAATATTGCTTTGTGATGATATCTTATATCTGAAAATAATTCTATTTAAAACTTGTTAGACGATTGTTTTTTTAGTTATAAATATATCTTTTTTTAATTTCACATAGGTTATCTTTTATTTTTCTAAATAATTATTTTTTATATTATTATGTCATAGCTTACCACAATATATAATTTTTTTTTGAGAGATTTTCCTTTATGAGCAAAATGTATATATTACTAATCATAATCTATTTAATCGTTTGAAACATGGTTTTTGTAATATCTTAATTGTTTAGGTATTCATTTTTGATCTTTAGATTGTGATTTGTTTACAAATTTGGTCCCCAATAGCATTTTCTTAATTTGGGCCATGCATGAGTATGCTAGGCATACGCTGGGTACGCTGGGCGTACATAGCCAGGGTGCAAACCTTAATTTTTAGGGTTTGGATCATATCTAAAAATCTTTATGGCCTCACACGCCTTCTTAACTCCAGCCTCCTTCCTCATTTCTAAACCCAAAAGTGTGTGAGCGCCTTGTGAAGCTTGGAGAGTCTTTTGGTGCCATTTTGGAGAAAAAAGTAAGAACCTTGAGGTTATGGTGTTTCACTCAAGGCCTTGGATCCAACATCTACATTCCTTTGTGCATCTTTTGGAGGCATAAAGCTCCAATCTTTATGAAATTTTTTGTTAGATCTTGTTTTAGCTTAAAGTTGGTCCCTTTGTCCCAAATCTTGACCTTTGTAAGCAGGGAATGCTTCAAGGCGTTTGAGTTGCCCTTTCAAATGTTTAGGGGTGTGCTAAGTCATAAAAATGGGATCTTGGACATTGGTTTCTTCCCATGCATGGTCTAGGTTGTCTTAAAGGTAAAAAAGCTAGGTTTTTGTTATTAAGGTCTTAATAGCCATGCAAAACATAAAGTTGGAAATTTTATGGTTAAGATCACCTTTTAGGTTATGGATCCAGATTTTGGGCGAAAGTGTTTTAAGGATTAAGCACCTAATGGGTTGAGTTGGTTGGCAGCCGTGTACATTGGGCGTACTAAAGGGTACGATAGGCGTACGTGGTCATTCCCTTATTTTTTTGGTCAAACGCTTGGTATGCCCCGCGTACCTGTTGTGTACGCCCATCGTACTCTGAGCCGACTCTGTTGACTCAAATGACCTTGACCTGGATTTTGACCTAGGGGCATTTTTGGTATTTTTGATCTATATGTTGAGATTGTTGTCATTGCATTATCTTAGAGTGGCGTGCTATTCAGTTTTCTCATCGGTCTGTGAGGTGAGTCTCCTGACTAGATCCATAGGTTGAAGACACCAATGTCGGCTCATTACTTTATTATATAGAATGTTAGTTGTCTATGTGGTACTGCATGAAAGACCAGGATCTGACCCTTGATAACTGTGTGAAATACTAGAATCTAGCCATTGATAATTGTATGAAAGATCAGGATTTGACCCCTGATACTTGTATGTAAAACCGAGATTTGGTCCTCAACATTGTAAGGAAAGAACATGATTTTGCTCATGACAGAAAATAATTGTAAGACTATGATTTGACCTATACCTTTTCACTTTCTTATGTATAATATGTAGTAATTTAGGGAACTCACTAAGCTTTATGCTTGCAATTTATGTTTATGATTTAAGGTACTTCTAGTTCGAAAGTGAATGGTCTAACATGACGACACAATATCCTCCCTTTGTGATTTCCACATTCTGAATAATTATACTCGGATGTTTTGAATATTATAACTTGGTGTTTGATTTTGAACAATTAATGATGTTCCAAATGAAAATTTTTATTATTGTTTTTAGGACTTACAATTTTAAATTCATTTATTCCATCTTATTGATTCCTTTTATTATGCTTTTTAATCATTTAGTTCAAAAAAGTTTTCAAAACCCTAATTTTCTTTTTTCAATATCTTTGTAATCCAGTTGACTTTCATATGTTTCTATTATTAGCTTATGATTTGTTAGTTTTAAATAATGCTATAGATCTAGATATTTAATAAAAAAATATTTTGTTGTCAAAAGTCAAAACCAACCGAACATGTATAATTTTTAGTCAAAACTCGAAATATCAAGGGAAATTAAAGGTGGGCCGTGGGCCTTACAAAGCTCAAGAGCCCAAACGTAAGTTTTAAGTTTTAACCGATTTTTGTTTAATGGATGCTGTCTCTCTCTCGTCCGCAGTCTGATGACCCCTTATCCTCATTCTCCACAATCTCATCTCTCACTTTCGTCTTCTTCATTCACTCTTTATCACCTCCTATTTCCACTCTTCAACCCAGAATTTATTCCTCAGATGAATGCTTAAATCGGATTTTCATGTATATGATCATTACATGTTTGCATCTATATCGTCTGTAGCTGAAAATATGTCCTGTTTGCTTCCCCAATTCAAGTGCATACCGGATTCTTTTACCATCCAATTCAAAACTCACAATCATCATAGTTCCAACCTCCGTAAGCTTACACATGTTCTTCGTTACCTATATTTTAGTTTCCGATGTGTTTTTGTTATTTCATTACTTGAAATTTGTGTTTTTAAGCTTTTCGATTCAACATTGTAGCATTTTCATGTTTCTATTCATGGGAGAGCAATTTACAAGTGCAATTTCATTTTGAGTTTCTGTTTGGTTATATCTAATCCTCAGTTTTAGTGTTTTGTTTCTGAATTGAGTTCAGTCGGTTATCTTCTGATTACTTTTGACATAGGATCCCCAAGGTTAAGTTATAGTCAGTTTTGTCACCTCCTTTTTGCAAAAATATCTAATTCCGATTATGGAATTCAAAATGTTTTCAGTTTTCTTGTTGAATTTGAAGCTTATGGAACATTTTCTAGCCAGTTTTAGTTAGACAAAGATGACGTATGCTGCAAAAAGTGCTCTGATTTCTAGATATATTGGAATTTAGGGCCTCTTTTAATTAGTTTCAAATATGATTACCCAAGGTGTGAAATTCCATAAAGTAGGTCTAGGGTTCAAACTTTTAGCACACCCAAAATATTTCTTCCTATTAGGACATTACACTTTGAAAAACTACCTAATTATATAAATGCCATTCAAAATAATTCCAAATGCAAAACAATTTTCACTGTTATAATAAATTGAGTTGATATTTCTTGCATTTAGCTGCTTTATTTGTACTCATATGATTGATTCTGTTCTTACTGTTATAACTCGGTTTCATAATGCAGCAAAATGTAGAGAACCTGTTTTTTTCCCAACACGTTGTGTTTTATCAACTACAGCACCACCTGTATCAACAGAATCTACAGTTCTTAACTTAGAGAAGCTAAAATTATCATCTTTAGAAGTTCATTCAAATTCAACTGCTGCTGATAGACATTGGTCATCATCATCATCATCATCATCATCAACTGGAGTGCTTGATCTTGAAAATTTCCAGCTACCATCTTTAGAACCTCATACAAATTCAATTGGCGGGAGTAGACCATGGGCTTATACTGCAAAAGTCAATCAGGTCAGAATCTTCTATTTGTTTTTTTTTTTTTGAAGAAATAGTAATGCACAAAATTTTACATTATTATTTATCAATTTTCATTTGATATTTAAAAAAATAAAAATAGGGAAATACTGGAACAACTTTGCCTTCAAAGTTTAAAACAAGCGAATACACAGAAGCAGCAGCAGAAGCAGTTGCTTTAGCCAAGGCTGCATTAAAACTCGCCAAAACCGCAGCTGCAATGATGACACCTCATCACACCACTGATAATCATTCAATACCAGAGTGTGGGCCCCAACTCTCAGAAGAAGTGGGGCCCACGCCCGAAGAACTGGAGCTTCTAGAAGAACAGCTATCTGCAAGCATAGCTGTGAGATCAAAGAGGCAAGTGGAAAGGAAAGCAAGGAGATTAAGAGCAACTGAAAAGGCTGAAGCCGGGGTCGTTTCGGTCAAATCCGGGTCCCACAACCGCGGTCGACCCAGCTCAGCGGCGGTTAAACCGGGTGTTAGCCGGAGACGCGGTGAGAAAAAAGACGTTTTGGCTTTTTTGGGTGGAATGACTAATGCTAAGCTTTTGACTGCTGATGAGGAAGTAGAACTTTCAAAAGGGATACAGGTATTATTTAAAAGAAAAAAAAAATTAAAACCATTGGAAGAATTAGAACATTTGTTTTTTTATGATGTAGGATCTCTTAAAATTGCAAGAAGTCCATAAACAACTTGAAGCACAATTTGGGGTGCCACCTACTTTTGCAGAATGGGCAGCTGCAGCAGGGATTGATCAGATACAGTTAGGGAGACGATTACATCATGGTGAAGAATGTAGGGACAAAATGATTAGAAGTAATATACGACTTGTTATTTCAGTTGCAAGAAGTTATTATGGAACAAAGGTCCATCTTCAAGATATTGTTCAGGTATGCATCGGCTTTTTCAACCGTGTTTTTTCTCATACTGCATTAGACTAGGATTGAGACTGATGTGAAGGACATATTTGTTGTCCCACCCAAAAAGGTAGGACAATACAGAAAGAAACCGTAAGTATTTACTAAAAAAATGTTAAGTTTTTGTTCCATCCAAAAAGGTGGAACAAAAACTTACAGTTTCTATCATGCGACATGATAGAAACTTACAGTTTTGTCCTTATGCAAGGACAAAACTAAAACTTTAAGTTTTTGTCCCACCCAAAAAGGTAGGACATGACAGGAAGTGTAAGTTTTTGTCCCACTACAAAAGGTGGAACTATGTAAAAAGGTGGAATGCCTGGATAAAAACTGCAACTTTTTATTGAAAAAGGTGAAACAAGGTGGGACAGGGATTTGTTTTTTTTATCTTGACTACATATTTTGATGTTTTTTTTTTTCTTTTTAAAATTATTTTTCAGGAAGGAATCCGAGGTCTCGTGAAAAGTGCAGAAAAATTCGATGCTTCAAAGGGGTTCAAGTTTTCAACATATGCTCATTGGTGGATAAGACAAGCTGTCCAAAGATCTCGTGCTGAACAAAGCAGGATCATTCATGTTCCCGTAAGCAAAATAACGATTTAAAAATGTCTCAAAAAATATTTGAGAAAATAACCGCAGGCAAATATAGTAAATTTACATTTTTGGTCCCTGGGTATAGCTGATTTTTCAGTTATGGTCCCGGAAAGTTTTCTTTCGCAATTTGAGGTGTTAGTAACTTTTTTGGTCCCTGTTTCAAGTAAAATAACTAAAATTGCTTAAACCAGCTATTATAGTAACTTACTTAGGGACCAAAAAAGTTACAATAACCTCAAGTGCGGACCACAAATGCAAAAAAGCTATACTCAGGGACTAAAAGTGTAAATTACTCAAAAAGTTAGGACTAATGGAGAAAATCTCTATGAAACAGTATTATATGGTGGAGGTGCAAGCAAGAGTGAATGAGGCTAAATATCGATTAAATAAGAAACTTGGAAGAGCAGCTACTCGAGCAGAGATTGCAGTTGAAACCGGTTTTTCCGTTAAAAGAATTCAATCCGCAGAAGTTGCACCTAAGCCCGCTCGATCTCTCGATGTCCGTGTCGGCTTTGAAAACAATACAAAACTCACGGTTTGTCCTCTTTCTTTCTTTTTTTAGTCAGGGACTAAAATTGTAAAATTGTAAATTACTGATAAAGTAAGTTGCTATTTCTTGCATTTAGGACCTTATTGATGATCCGGACCAAGAGACACCCGAGGAGATACTAATCAAGCAAACAATGTCGGAAGACTTAGACAAAGTCTTGAACACATTAAATGTAAAAGAGCAACAAGTAATTAGATGGAGGTTTGGTTTAGAAGATGGTAGAACAAGAACACTGCAAGAAATCGGAGATGTAATGGGAGTGAGTCGCGAGAGGGTTCGACAAATTGAACTTTACGCGTTTCGTAAGTTAAGAAACACAGATGAAACCGAGACTTTGAGGCAATACTTGCCTCAATAGGAAAAATAAAATGAATCGAGAGTCTTTGTATAGGTTAATCCTCCGTGATTTACTTGTTTTTTTTTTTTTTTTTTGTTTATTATTGATCTTGTTTATGGCTATGGAAATGTAATATATATTCTCAAGATGTTTGGTTCTTTATTCATATGCATACAAGCAAAATGTTGTAATCTATTTGCCATTTTTTTATGTTTAGTCAGACTGTCTGATAAAACTGAACCAATTATATTTTATTCAAATCTTTTAATTGTTCAAAGAAGGTATGGTTCTTTAATTGCTCATTGGTTGTCTTAAACAATACAAAATGTTGAATGCTGACTGATTCAAAGGTGACCTCAGGGTTCAATTAAGATGTTATCAAATAGCTCTTTAGCATAATATAACTAGTAGGGCATGTGTTTGGTTTTGTTCGGTTTTTGTGTGAAAGTGATTCGAAAATGTTTGGTTCGTAAACCCGAAGACTTATGTCATTGATTCGAAAAAGGTATGAAAGAAGATTTTTGTTTAAATAGATAATGCGTAATATCGATTGTTTTTAGAGATTTATATCGAGCAAGATAGATAATTGGAGTGTGAGGGAGACTAATACCTTAAATAATTAATGAAAAAAGATTATAAATGTTCTTAAAAATGATTTATTTCAATGAACTAAGATTTGTTTAGATCTGAGTTTTTTTTTTTTTTTTGGTTAAAAGCTATAAACTTTCAAATGTTCGCTGTCAAAATTCTTTTGGGTTATTCTAATATATGCATTTTGTGAACTTACAAACATTTGGCAAAATGATTTTTAGCATGTTTTTACAGGTTATGTTTTGATTTTTTTTACATGTTAGGTCTACGTGATTATTTATCTACATAATCAAACTGATATTTGAGTATAAAGTAAAACACATTTTGATTCCTGTGTTTAATCACAAAAATTCAGTTTTTGTCCAAAAGAGTTTACTCTTTCAATTTTGGTGTTTTTCTAGAAATTTTCCAAATGTGGATGCTGTGACATTATATTCTAGAAACTAAATGAAAGATACTGGACTTAGAGTAAATACACCCATATAATGTTGGAGACTGTTGAGTCTTCTAGAAAAGCCCCACTACAAATTAACAATCAAGGTGGACATTAACGTCACACACATTAAACATGATATAGGAATGTTGCGATCATATAAGAAGCAGCCAGAAGAAATTAAGAGATAGACAACCATACACATAAATCTGTCTGCCATTTGTCAAAAGACACTACGCAATAATAATAATAATAATAATAATAATAATAATAATAATAATAATAATAATAATAATAATAATAATAAACAAAAAACAAGATACGATTCAACCAGTTTGGGGACTCTAAGCGAACCAAAATTCTGGGGCCCTTTCACCTTTAATATACTCATTAATTGTATTCACATACAAGTTCACTTATGTTTTCTTCATGGATAATTTTAGTACGGTATAAAAAAATCTTTCTGTTGTAATAACCTAAATCAACAAGAATTTGATAAAAATAACTAAATCAACAAGAATTTGATAAAAAAATTCTATATGATTCTTATAACACCTAATATAACAAAAATACATAACAAACTGAATATAGCTATGTGATTGAGCTATCTGGTCATAAATACCATTAATTCTTGATAGTGAATTAATCACCCTACATTGTTCGTTCTATAACATTAATCAGTATGCTAAAGGATTCTTTGTTATTCTAGCTAAGCAACTTGAAATCTTTAATTGATTCTTAAACTATTTTCCAATTTGTACCTTCTAATTTTGTTATGCATCAAATTCTCATATAGTTTCAACATTCCATCACTATGGACACCATAAAATAATAGAAAAGCAATGCAAAGACCAGTATTGAGTCCTAACATCCATAAATAAATTGTTATGTGATGTGATTTTAGTCATATCTATTTCAATAAATGATAATACATGTAGAAGACTTCTAATAGAGAACTGAGAATCGAGATATAAGAATACTAGTATAGATTAAGGAAATTGAAACAATCTAACAATAACAGAATACGAAAGTGAAATGCATACCGATGAGGATTTGAATTGAGAATCAAGATAGAAGTCAAAGTCAACAGTCAATGGAAGTCAAAGAAAAGTTAAAGTCCAAAGTAGGCTGAGTACACTTTGCGTACTCCATCCTACGCTCAGCATATGAGACTCAAACCTTGTACGCGTTGCGTACCATTTGGTACACCCACCCTACACAAGCCCAATCACACTTCTCCGTTAAGAACTTATTCACAAGATCTTTTTTCCAATAATCAGATCTAAATCCAAATGACATTGTAAATCATAAAGTTTCCTAACTTTATGACTTTGCATGGCTAGAAAGTGTCCATAACCATAATCCTAACTTATTAAACAACTCCAAGCTTCATATATCTTGCATGGGTGGAAGGAAAGAATCAAGATGACATTTTATGACTCAAAGTGTAACATCTATAAATTTTACGCCAAATTTAAACTTTTTCAATCATAAATAAAACCAAATAGTATTTGTTTACAAAATGTTTTCAAATCATTGTTCATCAGAGTGTCCCAATAACTAGATAGAAAGGATGAGGAGCGGTACAGTCACACCTTCGCCTTGCCATGATCTCCTGAAGTACCTGAAATAATAAACTGAAACTGTAAGCCCGAGGGCTTAGTGAGCTACCCCCAAAATACCAATACCACACCGATAATACCATATCAATAAAAGACAATCACAACATGCATACTGGGCCATCGGCCTGACTGGACCGCCCTGCAGGGCCTACATTCTATCTGAATCTGTCCCGAGCCTTCGACATAATTGGACTGCCACATGGGCCTACAGTCTCCCCGGACCGCTCATAGGGTGTGTTGGCCTTCAGCACAAAGCAGGACCGTCTCAACCTAAACAACAGACAAATAACCATGTGCTCATAACTAGCATATACTGTCATATATAAACACAGACATATCTATCTTACTGATCATCAATCATAGCAATCTCTCATAACTAGAGCATCGACCTAGCAGGTCACTATCATACCAATCCTTACGAATCATAAGAGCATAACATATTGTCTATCCTGATTCTGGTCTAACAGATCATAACCATAGGTAACATACCATAACAATAACAACTAAAGGGCCAACCTTGGTGCCATAGACCCTATGACCCTATCGATATAGTGAGGATAACTCACCTTGCAGATGTCGACTTGGTAGATAAACTTCAACCCTCGGATCACCGCCCCAAACTCCACCACATAATACCATAACACAATCATACTCATAAGTTCCCAACCTGTCAAGGTATCTCATAAGCCAACTACTTGAACCCTGATCAAAGTCAAAGTCATTAGTCAAGGTCAACAGTCCATGTTGACCCTATCTCGCCGATTACCATCGGCTACTCGTCGAGTTCCTTGAAGTACTACCCCACTCGTCCAGTCACCGGAGTGACTCGTCGAGTTCCTTCAGTTTATGATCGAAACCCTAGGGCCACTCGTTGGGTTTCCTTCTCGCAAATCGACGGTTACACACGCATACATAAATTGGGGAAACCTCAACCGACTCGCCGAGTTGTTCATCCAACACGTCGAGTTTACAGCAATCTTTATCGGAACCGCCGAGCTGTTCATCCAACTCATCGGGTCTAGGCTCATCTTCATGAGACTCGCCGAGTCAACCTTACGACTTGCCAAGTTCGTTCAGTCCTTAAGCCATACAGACTCTTTTAAGCCATGCAGTGGCTCCAAATTACAGATCCAAGCTTCTAAGGCATGCTTTTCACGTAAATTTGCAAACTTTACGTGCATGCATAGCTACAAAGGCTCTAAATGTGAAATCCAAGCTCACAATGGGGGTTTCATACTCATAGAGGCTTCATACATGACCAAATTCGGGGCTTTATGACTCTAGAACCCAAGAAGGGTCCAGATCTGAAGTTACAACTTCAGATCTAGCCCATACCCCCCATTATCATCTCAACCAAACCATAAAAACCCTAGATCTCAACCAAAAGAGGTCTAGAAGGAAAATGAAGTAAAGGTAACGACTTGATACATCCAAAGGATGCTATCTGAGGTAGATTTATGATTTTCCACACCTCCTTGCCCCTAGCCTTTTGTTCTTCAAGCTCCTCTTCTCAAAAGATCTCCTCTCCAATGCTTTAGACACACAAGAGTGAAGCATCACATGAATTAGGGTTTTCTGAGCTCTCAATGGACTACAAAGAGGCCAAAGGAGGCTTATGTTTCCTTAAATAGGGTGCAAAACCCCAGGATTTAGGGTTTCATCTACCAGCTCCTACTCGTCGAGTCCCTTCATGGACTCGGCGAGTTAGCCACTGAATACGCGTCCCCAACCCGCTGCTACTCAGCGAGTAGGACAACCTACTCGTCGAATAGACCTCAAAATCAAAGAAATTCATACTTAAATAGTACCTAAGAATCGGGGCGTTACAATTCTCCCCCACTTGAACTATACTTCGCCCTTGAAGTCTGGTGGAGTAAACAACGCCGGGTAATGCTCCCACATTTCCGCCTCCAGCTCCCATGTACACTCGAATCCCCTCCGATGTTCCCACTGCACTTTCACCAAAGGTATTTCTTTGTTTCGCAAAATCTTCTTCTTCCTTTCCAAGATAGCTACAAGCCTCTCCACGTAATTCAGGTGCTCATCGACCTGAATATCATCAACATATTATGCGCCCAACCCTCCCTCCTAGGGGGAATATCGACTATCTCGCAACTGGTCTCACAGCTCACACATTCATGAAACTTTCACCAACCCTGCAACACTAGTGTATGCTAGCCACACATAACGCTGGAACAAATAGACTTCAAATATCCAATCCTACACTAAGGTCGAATCAGGCACTCTCAAGCTATAAGATCTTTATTATACACAGTCGTGATGCAAACACCAAACATCTACAGTTAGGATGTCAATTCCATATACAAGAAACCCTAGGCTAGTAGGCATCATATAACCTGGCAAATCTTATCATGCGATTCCTGAAGACTCCTAGCCTAGCACTAGCATGTTGCTCTATCATATCATAATATCAAATAACTGTAACGTATTTTGGGGT